GAGGGGAGAGGCTGTCTCAGCTAACCAATCACAGCAAAATCTGGATACACAGTAAGGTGATGAAAGGATTTGAATGATGGCTTTCAACTGTTAGTAAGAGTGAGGACTTGGACAGGCTTTATTTATTTACAAGAACCACATCATCATGGATTGATGTCACACCAGTTGTTATACTAATGGTATACTATACTATACTATACTACAGTACAGGCATACTATGCTTTCACTCACTGCTGCTCTGGTTGTACTTCCGTCAAACTCAAATGGAGCTTCTTCCCCACAGCTGTTTCTAACACTTTTGTTAAATCTAATCCAATCTAATCCAGACACTGCACCTGTCCCAGTAGTTCCGGGAGTCTCTCACAAATTGACAGCAGCTCCCTGACATCCGCAAATGGCCAGTGCCTCGGATTTCTGTTGTCCTACTATTCAGCGACGGTAAAAAAGGCAGCAAGAAGCTTCACTGCTGCCGCGCCGTACCAGCCGGTCAGCAAACCTTACTGTCAGCACCCCACCTTCCCCAGGGACAGATTATAACGAATATCGCCCCCCCCCTCCATTGTCCCTCGTCCACCTCCCTGAAATCAGTATGCCTAAGGTGGGATGTTTGATACATGCTATTAACTTTTTAAGTTAAGAAAAAATCAGTTCACAGTTTTTGTTCTCTGGTACCAGCTGCTAACGAATAGCAAGCGATGGATTACTTCTAGTTTATGTCACTCTTATGCAGTAAATCAACTTCACCAAAGCTGACTAATTTCAATTAGCGACAAAACAATTAAATATCATTAGCCATACCGAGGATGACAGTAACAAGAACTATGGACAAATTCAGGTTATGCAGCATTTTAGATAAAACATTTCTATTATGGCATTGATGACAACAATAACCAGGACCGTAATAACTGGTTCCAATTGTGTGTCTTTGCGACGCTTCCAAGAATAATCAGAGAGGGCTCTGCAGTGTTGCTATGGGTACTAGTAAATACGGACTTCTTAAATCTCGTGTATGATTAAACAAGAAGATGAGGAAATGTAGAGGAAGCTCTGGAGATGGCAATAGGCACTCTCGAGGGTTCACCTTGCCCATCTTCTGCTCATTCATCTTGACTTCCTACTTGGCTGGACCAGACATGGTGAAGTCATCCAGAGAAGCCCAGGAGGCCTCCAAAATGTAAAATGGAAGTGTGTTTGACTGCAGCTAATGGTCTGCTTAGAGCCTGGTGACTCCTATGGGGGAAGAAATCTCCCATGACCAAGGTGTGTGCTGCACTGTTTACGGACAGATCGGAGTACTGCTTCTCCTCCATACCAGGGACTTTTCCAAACAGAATTAAGGAGCTTTGATCCCAGGGCAGCCTGACATTACACAGACCAGTGTATTACTTCATCTTTGCGAGGAGCAACACCGAGGCAAATGAAGATTCACCCATTATTCTGTGCTCTATACTAAACACCAAAAGGTAAATGTTTACTCTTCTGGTTTTCCTCACAGCCCGTCCGCTCTACATGCCCACCACATTTCAACGAAGACATGGGGTCACATGTCCATACCTGTCCAATGTCCGGCTTCTCATGCAAGCACCTTGTCCGGGTAGACATTGTCAGTATCCAGCATACTTAAATCATCAAAAGTGGCACAATTTTATTCAGTTTAAAATCCCAGCTGGTGTATCCCAGTATTAAAATGTGATATCCAACTCAATTCAAAATCCAAATAAGTCAAGAAATTAATACGTTAAAAAATCATACATCCTGATGAAGTATTAACATGTTTGCACTCTAATTTAAATTAGTTTTTTCAACAGCCTGACAGCAAGTGGTTAAGAATTAAAGTGAAATCCAGTGATATTTAGACTTTGGTAACGGAGCTGAGTGCTTGGGGATGCAGATCAGCAATGAGCTTCGCCTGTTTCTCAGTAAAGCCTTCATCTGTATTAACAGGTACATTCTGAGGGAAAAGCTTACCGTTATAATTCTCCACAGTTTTACAAGGAGCCGGCCCGTTGGCGCTGCGGAATCATCTTTTGAACTGTATTTATATGTGGTTTTGCGAGAGGGTAATATTTAATCCCTGAGCCAACTTCGCCCGCTTCACAGTATCAGTTTTTCCTGAGCATTTTGTATTTTGTTGAGTTTATCAGGCCACAATCCTAAATTGGATGATAAGTGGTTATGGGACACGGGTGGATGGATCAAGGTATCATCCAAGCTGCCAGTGCAAATAAGCACTTAATGTTAGAGGCTGATATCGAATGTCAAAAGTTTATAAGTTAAAAGTCAATAAGATGCTTGAAAATACAGGTATTACAATACAGAGAGCACTCTGCTCTTTGCACTACAGTACTAAGCGGCTTTGAGCTGATATAATGTATCATGAATTACACTTTCCGTAATATAGAATGTATCTGGTGTGCATTCTCGGTGTCCCTTTCTATACAGGCAGTTAAGTAGCCAACTTGCGAGTTAAAGGTCAGAGGGCCTTTCGATGAGCTCAAATCTGAAAATACCCTGCCATATTAACGGGACACACCAGAAAAAAAAATGATCAAATGCTTTGTGAGCTTAATCTACAACCCTGCCTTTATTTTATGTTTAAGTTGCTTCCTTTACTGTATTAAAAGACACCATTGTTCATGACTAACACAATACATTTTACACAGAAAATTGCATTCACCTTTAAGCAGTGCAATGCAGGCGGCCCCCAAAGTAAGGAAGAAAATACATATTAATGGCTTGCCAGGTTATAGAGCTAATTAATATGTTGCCTCACACCTGCAGGGCTGGTGCCTAAAACCCTGCGCCGCTGTGTGAGTGGAGTCTGCAGGTTCTCCTCATGTCGCGCAGATCCTGCGGGTAGAAAGCGTGTGTGTTTCCTGCTGCGTACTCCACAGGCTGTCCGCTGCTGAGTGCTATCTGCTACGTGGGATCGCGTGTGACCCACCCCTGTGAACCTATACCAGATAAGACCTTGGAAGATGTATGAATGCCATACGTACACAACTACTTGAGGTCAAAATCACTTTTTCTTTAAGATGGGTGGGAAAAAAATCCTGTGTGAAAATTGCATGTGGACTATCCCCAAAAGTGTGGTGGTAGGTCAGAAGTGGAAATGAAGTGAGTCTTGACGGGCTGCATTCAGCCGTTTTCTGCTTCATAACACTTATTTTGCACAAAAGCGTAAATGCACATTTGTGTCAATGACCTGTTTATTTTTTTACGACTGGGCAGGGAACGGTGTATCTGACACGTGTGTAACCACATGCAACGTTACTGACCGGCGGGGGACTCTGATCTTTACTCTCGGTCTCTGGCAGCAGAAGCGCAATGACGGTCGTCCTCCCGCCGTCCCAGCTCCGCCCCCAGGCCGTGCTGACAGCGAAGTTCCTCCGTAGCGCCTCGCCGACTTCCACGTCACCATGATGCTTCTGTTCAGCACCTGATCACCTAGGCCGGGAACAGCTGTTATACCTTCAAACAGCTCGCTGCGGAAACCCGTCACTTAACCTTGAATTGCTCAGAGAAACACCCTTCCTGCGGGCCGCGGGCTGTGGCTAAGCCCGGGCGATAACACGGTAGATGATGTCACGCTACTCCGCAATCAGCCCTGGCTTTATCTCCACTGCCGCAGCCTGACATTTTCCGAAATGTCGTTCGGTGTCTTGCCCTGTCGGGCCCTGTTAACAAGTCCTGCCCACTGCATTAAGTAAACATTATAAATATGGAACACGGTATTGCCTTTGAAAGACTGGAAATACAAGCAAGTTCATGCAAAGGCAACCAGAATTAAAGAGGTTACAGATCCCCAGGTGTAAAAGCTATATATATAAATTATTAAAACATCACACCTCCATATACAAAATGAATCTGTAATCCACCCATCTTCTACCTGTGTCAGGGTTACAGCTGTACAGAACAATGGTGTAATGTGATCCTTTACGTTTCATGTTTTCATTTGAACGTATACACATCTACATTATCAAAATATTGTTACTGTCAAAATTAATGCAGAAATCTTACAGGGCACCACCTACTGTATATCAAGGTAAAGTTCATAGCGTACATGGGCTGAAGTTTCGATGGTAGAGGGAGACATAGAAAAACATCACGGCAAAGGAAGTACTCAACTAAATAATTCAGATGACGTGTGCCTCGTGACGACAGATACATATACGTCCCACGGGCCACCAACAGACGTCATTTTCTCCTCACCTCCTCACGTTCAACGATGATCTGATCCTCGCAGTCTCCCCATGGCGACGCCCCCAAAAACAGGCGTACCTGCAACGACCAAGAGAAGGCTGCAGGTTCGAACCCAAGAAAACATCCACTCTTTTATCACCTGAATTGCTTTGAATTAAGGTGTCTACTAAACAAATTGAAATTAAAAAGCATTTTGGAGCATGCAGGGCATTTTCAGGTTTGTTTGTCTGTGAACAGTGGATGTTGCATTTTAACCAGTTTAGAGGTGACTGGCTTGTAGAGACTGGGGTAGAGAGATAACCTGCCAGATGATGGCTTCAGGGTTCAGGTCGACCGGGAGAGCATCAAAAACAGTGCAGGGGGAACAAGGCCCAAGCTCAGTCAATGCTGGGCATGGTACCAATCACAGGAGGCTATGTTGGCAGCCAGTGCCACACAAGCCAGGGATCAGACCCCACCACTATTTGAGGTCCATTAAATTGTAAGTTATCCTTACAACTTAAGGTCCAGCAGCAAAATCAAGTCATTGGTTTGAGTTGCTTCTCTCACATTCAGTAAAAGCTGCAATTCAAAATAAAAATCTAATAAAATGAATGCTATCTATGACTGTGACATCATAAACAGATATCATGGTCAGTTCGGACAGTCAACACACATGGTGCATCTTCTGCGTTCACTGCTTAAAAAGCTCTAGATCTTGGTCATAACTAAAAATATCAGTGTTGATCGTTCCCTGTGCACCTTTGGTCTCTGACAGCAGCTACACAGAACTGCCATCCAAGTAAAACATTCCGCTGGGCAGAGATACACCTTTGTGAAATAAAGGAGAAGCTGGACCTCACAAGAGAACAGCTCAGAAGGTTTGGGGTTTGTGTCTGTGTCCAGAAGGTTCTGGGTTTAAGACGTGTGACTGACAGAGTAGCCAAACAAGGCCTAGCCCCAGTTTCCCATGGCGTCTGCATGCTGATTAACCCAAAACTGTCACAGACAATTCCTATGTACCTTGTCCAAAAGACACAGTTTTTAAGTTACCTTTAATAATATGGTGCGCTACCTCAAAATAATAAAAACTTAAGGCTTACGTGCCTGTCCGCTTCAGCCGAGTTCACAAGACTCTGACAAGCATTACACGGCATATTCTGTCATTTGTGTGACGCGACCAAACTCTGATCTGCAGGAGTATATCGAGAAAGTTCGAGACACACTGAAATAAAAGGATTCCCAGGCACAACTGACTAGTGGTGGATGCTGAGGTCATATAAATACACACTGCCATTAAATGTCGGTAAAGAAAAAAAAAACAATGTGTCACCCAATAGACGATCGAAACCACCCAATAACCCCCACCCAATGTCGGATTCAAAGTCTCATTTCTCCCACCACTACCATTAGGTAATATCGCATTGCTAATAAAGGAACACCACATGCAATATTAAAACGAAACAACAATGCAGGTCAATGCATATATGTGACAGCCGAAGACCACGTGTAAGAGAAACGTAAGAAGTGGTAGCAAGTATGACGTCAGTCACGCAGAATTTTAAATAAAGAGACCACTGGAATATCTCCAGATCTTAACTGACTGCTTTGTTTACAGTACGTGGAAAACAAGAACAAAAAGACAGAAAAAATGTTTTCTCTGTCTGCAGTTAGTATGTTAAACTTTCGGCGAGCGTTATCAACCGGGAGTTAACTGTCTGGTTCTAAGGTAAACTTTGCATCACCAGATTTGCTGCCCTCTGGTTCATATATAATTGTGTTGATCTCAGTGCAGCTGAGACAGCAGTAGTTACTTTATCAATATTTACCGTCGATTTGATTTAGGACGGCTTGCCTTTAACTTTAACAGCCAAACACATTGGGGGATATCTCTCGAATCTTCAGCCTTATGAAGTTATGATCTAAGCTGCAGTTCGATCTTTCAGCTTGCAACTGACTAGAGAAATTCAAAACATGACAGCCCTAAATGTAAATGTCTTGGTAAGATGACTGACTTTTCCGTCAGCGTCTTTAATTCTTTAAAGTACTTTATTTGAAAATTCCTGATATTTGTCTGACATTATTTGAATGGGATACCCCTATAATCACTCAAAATCAGGAATATGGACGGAATGAGGTACATTTATTAATCCAATCCCAATACAAAAAATGTCCATAATTTTGTCTCATACTTGCTGCCACAAAGAATAAAGATCGCCAAAGAGTGTTTCCAAAAACCTTCAAGCGTTATTGGAGCGATGGCCAAATCCTGTCTCCTCCGGCCGAGGAGGCGGGGTGATCCTCTCCCGCGGTGAAGTAGGCTGGTGTTTTTGTTTTCAGCCGGTCGTGATAGAGATTGAAGGAAAAAAAAATATATATATATATATATATACACAAACTAGTAGTGGAGGACGGACTTGGCGAGACGTCAGCGCCCCCGAATGTATAAATCTACCTTATCCAACAGCATCTTCTGGCAAGGAGGCGATCCTGGGAGTGCGCACATCTGTCCAAGAGTAAGGCTCCCAGATCTGCATCTGCCCTACGGGTTCGTCCAACCTGCCAGACCAGGTAACGAGAGCACAAGAAGAGGTGGACAGGAGGCTGCGGAAAAGCAGGACTCTTCTGAGGAGTCATCAAGCCACGCTGATAACTTTTTGAACTGCTCTGGATCGTGTGGCGTTACGATCGTACTAGCGATCCCGCTTCTGCAGTTTCGGAGCTCCTGTTTTCCTTGACTTGATCCTCGGAACCGCACTCAGCAAAAAACAGAACAGAAATTTTAATCGGAGTTTCGGGGTTCTGCTAATTGAATGAGTTCTTCTCATTGTGCTGCGCACACACTTGGGGAGCCCCGTCACTGCGCACCTGGCCGTGCGGGTACCAGCCAGTCGCTCCCATGTACCTGGAGATCTACTGGAGGGATCGCTTCTTTTTGCAGAGGCTGAAAACTGTTGGATCCCAAGAGTGGCGTGATATTTCCACGGGACATACTTACTTCTCCACGCAGCCAGCATGGCCAAATTAGTCTGCAATTACTTAGGCGATTACCGCACTTGATACTCAGACTTCACAGTTTTCCCACCACAAAGGCTTGGACCTTTCAAACGCGTAGCTTTTTGTTTTGTTTTTTTTTTTGGCTACCGACGGCAAGTCTGTATGGACCCAAGTGAAGGTGAGAAGGGAGCATTAAATGTTGCAGCTGGTAAATTTACCCCGCTGGCTGCATTTACAAATCGTGTCATCTGCAAGGCATAAATTCACGCTCTGTTGTTTCATACGTACCTTAGTGCTTGTGGTTAAAAATGAGACGCGCAACAGTTGAACTGTGAGACGCAGTTCGGGGTTAGATTTTTGCATGTGGTAGCGATGAATCAAATGGCTTTAAAATTTTGTAAACGGCTAACAGCCATGATTTTTCCTTCTAAATGTGTTAATACGGCCGAAGCGTGTTTCCCCCGTGAAGTCCCACTGCCTTAAATAAGACCATGTCGGTAACGGGAATAATACCATCTGGCTGTCTGATGTCTCCGGACCATCCCCATATCGGAGCCAAACTTGACTCTAGCTTTAAAAATAGTGGGAAACGTGCCTTCTCCGCGCGAAACTACACTATCCAACTATTCGCAGTGTCACCTACTTGTGTTTAACAAACCTAAAATCAGCTGTGTAAACTTGCGTTTTCATTACAGTAAATTACCATCTTCCACAGTTTGACGTTTACTGTTAATAAGCACAACACTATTGCAGCCCGCGATGTTGCACTACCCCGTCGCCCAGAAATGATGAATCATATGCATGATATAAAAGTCATAATGCTACTGGCCAGCCAGTACCGGTTTGGGATCGGTAAAACCCGTTAGCCACGCCTAACGTGAGGGAAGGTTTCAGCCTTTTGAAACATGTGCATGCACGATCTAATTGCACTCTCCCTGGCTCCACACAGGTTCTCTCATAGGAATTGAGTTTAAAATGAAGTTATGGGACCTGCTGGCTATGTGCTTCTTGCTGCTCAGCACCGTTTCCACAAGCCCCCTCTTCCAAAGCTTACGGTCAGACAAGCGCCTACGACCCCTGGCCCAAGCGCTCAGCGTCCCGCCAGTGCTGCTGGATGACGAAGAGTCCGAATCCACATCGGAGACCCAAAACGAAGCGTCAGTGAGACTGCAGGAACGATCCCTTCAGAATCAGCGTAAGCGCTCTAATTATTGCATCTTTGCAGAGCACATGGATTAGGCCAAGCTGACATCTTGCATGAGCTGAGACAGTTCAGGGTCATCATTTTCACCATGAATGATTATGCAGTGGAAACTGTTTAAAATCCAGTTTTATATCCAGTGTGGCATTTCACTGGCACCGATTAGCAGTGATGAACTTCCATCCTGAGATGTAGTCCACATCAGTCTGTGAGTTTATTTAACAGAAAACATAGATATATTTCCCCAGACCGTAGAATCGAGTCTGTGGTACTGCAATAGCTTGAGTCAGAACTGACCTCAAAGCTAATTTCCAGGACTTTAAGAGACTGTCTATTCAAGGATGGATGTAGGAAGGGATTCCCAGTGTCACCTTTTGTACTGGTTCTGGATGTTCTCCTCTAGGTTGTCTCACAAGCTCTGTTTGACAATCCAAGGCTTAAATGTGGAAGCCGAGGGTTTGTGTGGTCAGGTAATGGCTGTGTTTATAGTAGTATATGTGTTATGTAATTGCAAAGTTTGCTGGATCACAGACACACAGAGTGTTTGGATCGGAGCTGAACTCTCTGGTTGCACTTAGATGTTTCCCGTGGTGCTAGCATCACCAAACCATGAGCCTCTTAACCCAAACTTTGCTGCACTAGAATCCAACACAGCCTCTGTTTTGTACACTTTTTTACAGTTAATTTTTCCAGTGCATTCCTCAGTTTTGCAATTCGCTTTGGATAGAAGAATCTAAGAACAGGAACATAAACGTGAATGAGAGCGACAGACTGGCTGGTGAAATGACAGCAGTGCAGAGATGCGATCGCAGGACACAGGCTTGGAGAGAAACCCAGCAGAATTCGATTATTACGTTCATTGTTGTTATTGTGGTAGAATTGTGTTTGGTTGGCGGTTGCTGCGGGGTTAGCCGCTACTCACCTTCCATCCCCGCTGGTTTGCTTTTAAGTGCCCATAAGTACCACGTAGGATTTAGTTTCATCTCCTCTGTTGTCCTCTAACTTTTTCCACTGAGATTTTTTTCCCACATACATACATACCGTTATTGTTATTATTGTTGTTGTTTGCAACAACAATATTAATAAATTTATACATTTCCTGGGATTTGAATGTGTAGACCTTTGGTATAATGACCAGCTCTATACTGGCTTCTCACTTTGTTACACTCATGCTCTTTGTCCGAAAAGCATTTTTCTTCCGTATAAATCTGTTTCTCTTTGCCTCACATGTATAGCGTGCCTGGCAGCTAAGTATTCGCATGCCTGCTTGGCTGCGCTGCTGGTGCCAAGGCTTAGGCAACTCTGAATCCTTGGCTGTGTAACAAAAAGTTGGAAAGAATTCTCGGCGTAAAGTAACACGATACAGACGTAAAATTCCCTCTGTTATCCATTGAGACAGAAGTTATTTTAGCTGCACAGAGACTTCTGTTTGTCTCCCGTGGGAATCCTATGATTGCAGTAATCTAGAATTCATTAAGACTTTAAATGTTTTTAATTTTGCTTTAAGTCAGACTTAACCTCCTTAATGTGAATGAGTTTCTTTAGTTACACGAAAATGATTGGCAGGATTTCTAACCCATCCCCCGCCCCTTTGATGTGAGGTACCAGTAATTAATGCCGAATCAGATTCCCATGTATCCTTTCATTTGAAACAGGCAACTTAATGCATCCCAGACACTGGGAACTAGATTTTCATTGTAGCCTGATTGATCAGGTTGGGCTGTGAAGGGTTGCGAGGCTGTGCTCCCGCTGGGTCGTTCACTGCTTTGGTTGAGGCCCCTCATCCTGTGTGGCCCCCAGAGATCGGGGCCCATAGCTGCATGCGGCATGCTTGAAGGCCCCCCCCCATCCCCAGCAGGGCCCCGCTGGGATGTCCTTCACCTCTACCCTCTGAGAGCCACATGAACGAAACTTTGCCCCAAAGCACTGGCATCTATTATTTTTCACCGTGCCTTTCTGGCAAAGCAGCATCCTGGACACGCGGAGCCTTGCCGGTGTGCCGGACACGCGGATCGCCTTACCGCCGGATGCTGTAACTGCGGGGTGATGGGGACCCTGGCAGATCAGGTTATGCAGTTCAGGTGACAGGTAACACAGGAGCAGTGACGCCCTAAACCTGTCAGCTGATACGCCTGGCCCACCCCACCCCCCTTCCCTGGAAAAGCAGTCGAGGGAGGTCATGGTACCATTTTCCAAGCCCAGTAGGTCCTCACCTTTTCACCCTCTACCAAGGCCTCGTCCTCCAGCTGACTCACATCTGCCCCGTCCGCAGCGCGTACATTTTGAATGATCGCTGTAGTAGTCATACTGCTTGTTGTTACTCTGGCCTGACGGCGGTTGCCATGAGCCGCATGCTGATTTTTGACTATAGATGCAGATGTTTTATGAAAGAGGACTTATCAAAGGCCGTGGCAAGCTTGCAGTTTTTGAACTGTGAGCTTCGCAGTAGCGTGCCCTTAAAACGAGACCGTGAACTTTTACTCTGGGCTGTGACCCAACAGAGCGAGTCTTTCAAAAGTTGGTGCTCCCTGTTCCCATCTCCTGTCCTTTCGTCTCTCTGACGGGTTGCCTTCTGCTGTATTATCCATACAAAGCCTGTTGTTTTTTTTTTGTTCCATGTCCCTCTGTAGATGGGGGGTCCAGTCCTGACCCGGAGCAGCTTGGGTATGTTCTGGACTTCATTAAAGCCACCATGAGGAGGATGCGCCGGTCCACAGATAGGGGGCGCAGGAGCTCCCGGGGGCAGAAGCGAGGGCGGCAGAAGGAGGGCAGAAAGCACCGGCGCTGGGGCGGGAACGGCGTCCGTGGGACCAAAAACAGGGGCTGCGTTCTGAAGCAGATCCACCTAAATGTGACGGACCTGGGACTGGGCTACCAGACCAAGGAGGAGCTCATATTCAAGTACTGCAGCGGCCCCTGTGTCACGTCTGAGACCAACTACGACCGGATCCTGAACAACCTCACCCAAAACAAGAGGCTGGAGCCGCACTCGCCGCCCAGGGCCTGCTGCCGGCCGGTGGCCTTCGACGACGACCTCTCCTTCCTGGACGACAACCTGGTGTACCACACGCTCAGGAGACATTCGGCCAAGAGGTGTGCCTGCGTCTGAATCCGAGGACCACGTCGCTCTGACGCCGCGGCCTTCCAAAGACCGTTTCCCCAGGAACGGCGCCCAAAGACTGACCTCTGGCTGAGTCAAAGGCGCGGACAGACCCCAGCCCACAGCAGTGTGTGCATCCGTGGAGACACTGTGGCTGTCTGTCTGGAGAGAAGAGCAGACCCTCTCTCCCCAAACCAGATGTAGCTCCCGGGTCACCATCTGGCCCAGTGATGGTGCCGCAGACCTCCAAAGTTTACAGTCTGAAGTTTCTGACACAAAGCTGGACTCTCTCCAGAGACTTCAAACAGGGAGAAAAAGTGAATCGCCGGTGCAATGCATCTACTCAGACTCATTAGCATAAGCAAAAATGTGAAAAGTATTTATTGAGATTGAATTAACTTATTGTTATTTATTACTGTTAATTTTATGGAAAAAATATATTTTTCTTATTTATTTGATTTTTGCTTTCCTCTGGTGCCAAAAAGAAGCTTTAACATGTTGTAATGACAGCAAGGCGAGAGAGAGACTGGAGCAACAACCACAGCAGAACAACTAAACACAACCACCTTTATCTATTCATATTCTCATTGCCTCCAAACCGCTCAGGTCAGGATAGTGTTAAGACCGACCGCTGGGCCCTGCTTCAAAGACTGACCCCCTTAAACGTGACCACACAGACTGACTGCACGTACTGACTTCTGCCTACTTAATCTGAGGCATCTTCAGCTTCAGAGTACTGATCAGCCTATCAGCAATGCTCCCTGCTAAGATGTGACCCTAAAGCCTTCAGGTAGGACACAGGAAGGCCAGCTTACATTTAGCATGACCACTTTACCCACTTGCTAAAATTATATCCTACAGAGATGACTAGACAAATAATACCTTAACCATAAAATGTGGGAGGGGCTACGTATATAAAAACTGAAAATATGAGATTATCCCACCTCCCCCAGTTATATATCATTATGTCTTTGCTTAACTAACCATCTTGTCTAAAGTGATGTAAAATGTTCTCATCTGGACTTGCGCTAAAGCCCACCAGATTCAGCACTTTGCTCAGAGGTCAAACAGCTTTTCCTTTGTTGGAATATGAGCAGAAAATCCATTCTTCAGGTCCAACTCTTCACCTCTGAGCTGCCTGCCCAATATCCATCTAACAGGAAGCATATAGAGACTGGAGATTGGACCCCAGTACCCTGCGGGGTGAACCTGATGTTTCCAGGGATTAAATGTTTTGTTTTTTTTCCATTTACTGGCTCTGTTACTCATTTATCTGTTTTTTGTAGTGACCATTGTTTTATTCAAATTGTTTTATTTCAGTTTTCTGAGTTTTCATGGATATGCAAGTAGGAGAAAACTGTAGGCAGATAATTAGTTTTTTTCCCAAGCATTTCCAGACAGTAAGGGCCTGTTTGCTGGTTGCTGGGGAACAGTGTAGAAAACAGACTTAGAAAAAGCATTGCCTGAGACATATCAAAGTCATTAAAGAAAGTAGGTAGGTGTTTTACAACAAATTAAATAAGTTTTAGACCAAAGAAAAAATATATGGTTTACACTGATCACATTAAGCAAGAGCAATTTACGGGTAATATCATTAAGCTAATTTGATTATTTATTGCTCAGCGTACACTTTGAACCAAAGAAACCCACATTCAATAGTTGACAGATTATACACCTGAATGTTCATAGAAGCAAGACTGAAAACACAAGACTCAAACCTACAACCTTTCCTGTCACCCTGTGGCCCTTGTGTGTCGAATGGACTGCTTTGCTGTGAAGTTAAAAACATGGACTCGGCATTGACCTTGGCGCCGGCCCAGTCGTGCAGTGCTGTTGAAAATAAACGTGTACTACTCGCAAGTCTTTGTAAATTTATGTCTTTAATAATGACCTTTGACCTCGAGCTGGCTCACGACCACACAGGAAGAACCTTGCAGGGAAAGCATATGAGACCAGCGTGAGTTATAGCAGGCGTCCGAGTGTAGGCCTCATGGACGATCGCTGTGGGGTTTGTGATCGTTTCAGCACCATGTTTATACCTGAAGCACCAGGTGAATGACAATTCAGGTAATGACTTAAATCAGGCGACCCGGAGCAGAACTGGGAGTTAAAGCAGAATACCCAGGAAGAAGCCAGCCTCTGTATTTGAATCCAGGATTGTGACAAGTGGTGTTTATATATCCACTGAGGATGTAGGGACCAGTCAGTGCCTGGGGCGTTCGAGGAGAAGGATATGTTTCCATTACCGCACTTTTGGAGATGTTCTTACAGTATTTTTGCATAGGTCTTTGCAGTAATAATGTAAAAAGAAGAACAGCGGGGCAAACTTCTGCAGCATCTGAAAACAGTCAAAGGTGCGGCCAGTGTGGATTGCCGCTCCAAGTTTTGACAAACATGCATTGTGCAATCTTGAATTTCTATGAGACTTACAGACATTTGCATATTGTTTTGCTAAACCTTGCCAATACGCACTTCTTTCTTAAGTTGTCACTCTCAAGCTCTGACCTCAGTTGCCATATTTCTGCTGTGGTGTTTTATGCATGTACATAAATGTTACGCTACACTAACCCAGAGTAACACAATGGTTGCATCCGAAATTGAATACTCGTTTGCTGTGTAGTAGGTGAAATCTAGTATGCAGAGTGAGTAATATATCCGAATCTTCGGTAGGGGTGAGATAGTAGGTGAACGGTGCCCACAAACTATACATTCTGCAAAATTCCAAAGTGTACAGCTGATAGATGCCACGCATCTCACAAGGGTCACTGGAGCTGCAAAGAGAAGCGAAATAATGTTGTTTGCTCAGAAATTTTTGTCAATATAGCAGAGAATGTGCCAGCTCTGTACAAATGTCAGTAGAAAACAATACCCAGTTACATGAGCTCATGTATTTTAATTTTTGATAATTGTTAACAGTTTTTAATTTTCACAGGGTTAGGTGCATTTGTACTGTTCTCATGCATACAAACAGTATGCATTACCTTAATGGTCGTGTGGTATTCTTCTACGAAATTCAGTACGTACTGTGTAAGTATTCGATTTCAGATGCACCCTCATCTCATTTCATTTCTCGTCCTATCATGTTTAAATGTCTCCTATGTTGCATAGTGTTTGTTTTACATATATATGCAAATATTCAGAAAATCGGTGACAAAATAGCATTCGCAAAAGATGAAGAACTTGAAATGTAGGCATTTAAATTCAATAAATGCAATTTCCCAATTATGCCACATTTAGAACAACCTGAAGAAAACGTTTTGTGTCCATTTTGCAAACTGCATATTGTTTTGTCTACAGAAATGTATTATTTGGCTTCTAAGCCTGTACTTGAGTGTATTTCAACTCGATGTCAGCGACCAGCAATGTGTGAAGCAGCAGCCAGCCAAGCGCGGTAGGTAGGGTTCCCATCCCGTCAGACCCCACAGAAGACTGAAGCTCATGACCTCCGTTGCTGGGACACAGATGCGCACAGTCAGGGCACGGCTAGGCCAATCTACAGCACTCTGCCAGCCTGGGCGAGCCGGCGGCTGCAGCTGGTGACAGTCTCATGATGACAATGACGTTCAGAGGGGGACAATGGCAGTGATTCATGGGTAAGTCCCCCCGGTGACCAAAAGTGTCCTACAAAATATAAGGGGAAGGCCAATATTTGCTTTTATGTGAAATATACAGTGAACTTGACTGGGGACGGCTTACATTAAGGTGTCGCCTACTCTAGCAGGGTTAAAGATAGCGGGTGCTAACATGCTAACACACAGCACTTATTAGAAGGTTGAAGGAGGTCTTGGTTCACAACCCCATGGCTGTTGAGGCAGTTGGGTCTTTGTGCCCATTTTCACTCTCTGGGTTGACATTTTAGTCGGGATTTACTCTGACTCAGTGAGACAACTTTGTTCTGAGATTAGAAGGATGTCATACATTCTGCATCCCTAACTAACAGTAATCCTTCACTAATATGGCACAGGCACCTCATTACGGCTTTACTAATTAACCCGTTACGGTTGTATGAGTTGAGATGACTGGGTTAAGATGCAGACTGAGCCGGCAGATCACCCCCCATGGATAGTGTACATCCAGATACAGGAAAATTGGATTGCTAGATAAACTTGTTTTGGCCCTACGAGTCACTGCATTGCATTTTGCATGGGGCAAGAACAATTGAAAATAGCAAGCAAAGCTGCAAGTTATGCATACATAGTAACTTGGTTTGGGGACTGACCCAAAAAAGGAACAAGAACAACAAGCGGTAATGCTTTACATTAACTGCAACTTCATAATGCATTCATTATGCATTCATAGAACCTTCAGTGCATCTTCATAATGCATTCATAGAACATTCATAAGCAGCAAGTATATCAACATCCTAACATACCTTTACAGATGTAATATATCTTAATAACAAACAATATATGATTATATAACTATAAGGTTTGTTATTATTGTACATTAAAGCTGTTAAGGTATGTTAGGATGCTACTTACGAATTCTCTATGAATGCATTATAAAGGCATTATGAAGGTGCAGTGAAAGTCCTTTGAATGCATTATAAAGGCATTATGAGGGTGCAGTGAAAGTCCTTTGAATGCATTATAAAGGCATTATGAAGGTGCAGTGAAAGTCCTTTGAATGCATTATAAAGGCATTATGAATGTGCAGTGAAAGTCCTTTGAATGCATTATAAAGGCATTATGAAGGTGTAGCTAATGAAAAACTTTACCCAACAAGAGAAAAAACAGGATAGCTTGTTGAAACTTAGTAGTTTTTGTTAAGGCTTGTAATAAGCTGGGGCAGGGAGAACTTTACATCATCTCCACACTATACATTTACAGTGGGCATTTAAAACCAACCTGTCCTGTTCAATAGCCATCAACAGCCACAAAAACTTACAAAAATGTATGTTTGTATATGTCTTTCTTCAGGTTTTTTTTTTTGTTTGTATATTCTTTAAAAAAACTGTGCAATATTTAATGATAACTTTAAAACATGCATGATACCCAAAAGCACTGGAGAAGTGTATTACTAGTCCTCTGCAAACAAGCGTGTGTTTACCTTCCTGAAGCGCGTGTGTTTGTGTGCGTCCATTCCTGTGATAAATGGCATGTGTTGTTTCAGACTACACCTCTGTTTGCTCTAACTACGCTGCAGCAAAAGATGTAACAGAGAAGGCCATCCTAATCAGCAGCTTGTCTATAAACACAAGACACTTTCTGATGGGACAAAGTCAGCAGATGTTTGACAACGGAATCCCCCCCCTCAGAGCAGCAGGAGACCAGCCTGGACCGAGAGGACAGATGCGCTCACAGTTTCCTTTTTATCAGGAAAAATGCCTCCCTTCATTTTTTTGCAGTTTTAAATTACTGAAAATTCTCCAGTAAGCTGGCTCACTGAGGCCCCGGACGTCACCTGACCAGATGTGGAAAGATCTACATGCAGCATTACATACAGCAGCTATGGGAAA